ACTTCCCGTGGGTTCAGTAGATGCTCATTAAGCGATGACAAGCTGCTGCCTTCAGCTCGGGTGTCCTGTGTTGTCCAGTGTGTCGCAGTGAGAACGGGGGCTTTGGGCATCTCCCTGCCGGCTGACACCGGCTGCTGCTTATCTCCTCCTGTGAGGCTTGGGCCCCAGACCCTGACTAGGGGCAGCAAGGGAATAAGAAAGGACAGACAGACAGACAGGAAGGCTGGGATCTGGTGGGGGTGGGGGGGGTGCGTGCACTCGGGTGGAGCCACAGCTTCTGCAGCCGGCAACCTGGAACCTCAGTGTGTTTATTAGGCACAGCACAGGTGGAGGGGTGGGCTAGTTTGAGAGGGACTCTGTAAACATCCGGAGGAGGAAGAAGCTGTAGTTGCTAGTCTTCGCACACATGGTCACCCCTTGGCACTGGGTCTCCCTCCCAAGGACAGCTCTGCCTCCGCCCTCAAGCTCCAGCCAGGCTCGGCTCTGCCACTGTGGGGCTGAAGCGTGGGACTCTTCAGCGTGGTGTCCGTCAACAGTTCACATGCACTCGGGACTTCCCTACTCGGGGCTCCGTCCACTCCCCACAGGCTCACGACACTCATATTTCTGGACTTCCGTTCTTCGCTGTCCAGTCGCTGGCAACAGCCTCCTCCTGTCTCTCTCCAGGTCAGGGCTCCCCGGCCCGTCCTGACACATTTTCTCAGCCCATTAGGAGCAGCAAAGTTAAGGACTTGGTAGTTCTAGAACCCCATCCCTCCATGTTTTGAGCCTATGGATGGTGACATTAATAGTGAGATGAAGATGAGCCATGATGGTTTCCCCATCTTCATTTCTACAGAATTACGGGTGGAATTGTGCATTGCTGCATGCCACCTTACATCACAGATGTAATGGTAAAGGAGTCATTGGGGAGGATGACTGCTGAAAGAAGAATGGGGACTAGAGGTCTCCACACACAGGGAATCACCCCCTGCAGGTGGAGGTCAGTGTCGGGCTGAAGACACCATCAGAAGCCAGGGCAGCATGAAGCAGGTTCTTCCTCACCGCGTGCAGAGGCGGCCAGCTCTCCACCACCATCTTGTACATCTAGCCCTCCAGTCACGGCAGGCTGAGTTTTGGTTAAATGGGCTGCCTGACTTTGCTGCTTTCTCTTAGGACCTAGTCAGCTGATGACCTCAGAGCTCAGGGACGTGGAGGGAAAAGCGAAGGCCCGCTTTGCAGGTGGTGGCAGATGTGGCTCTCTACAAAGCTTGGCTCTTGTAACAACACCACCCCGGTGCCCTGCATGACCCTCCCTCCCAAGCTGAAGGCCTCAGTGAGGCAGAATTCAGAACCACACCAATCCCTAGGCTGGCTGTGGTCTGCTCTGCTCCCTGGTCTGCGGGTGGTGGTGGTCCTGATCCATTTAATGAGGTGTGTATTGCTGCTTCCTCAGCAGTTCTTGCTGCCTTCTCCCCAAGACCTCCTTCCAGGCCCTCCCTCCCTTGTGAGATTCTCTTTGGTCCTATTACAAATAGCTCAGCGACCCTGGAAACTTTTCTTGTCCTCCTAGGCTGGGCCAGGGGCACAGAGGTACCATGAGTCTACAGAACATGCTGGCCAGAGAGGCTGGGTGGAGGCTATTCCTCCCAGAAAGCAGGCAGGAGAGGGCCAGGACTTAAGAGCACCAGAAGAGGAGGGCCTCAAGGAGAGCTCTGCTTTGTGTCTCCTACAGGGTCCGCTGGGGCTCTGTTCTGCTGGAGTCCCCTCCTCTCCTGTCTGCCAGCCTGGTTCCACCCCTGAGGACTGGCCCACCCAAGCCCAGGGGCCCTTAGCCTGAGAAGCCGAGGGCTCTGCCTAGCCCATGCTGTCTCCCATGGTGGGGATATGGAGTTTGCCAACTCAATTCCTGGCGTGCAGACGGAGCTAGTGTTTATAGCCAAAGCCACATTTCTAACAAGGGCCTCTAAACAGGGTCGGCCATGTGCTGCTCAGCTGCTTCCTCTCCTGCCATGCCCCATGTAAGGTCTTGGCTTTGGATACCCAGCCCCTTCCAGGAATGTACCATCCAGAGGAAAGAGCTTGAAGGGGCTTCATTTGTGTTTTTCCAACAGGCCTCACTGACTTCTGGAAGGACTCATTATTTACAGTGGACCATCTGTGCAAGGCTTATTTCCCAGTTGAAAACTATTTCCAAAGAGAAGGGAAAAGCTTCTCCATGCTGTTATGGCACCCGGGTGATCATGGGGAGTGGAACAAGACCACACAGGGAAGAGTGGATGGGTGTGAGAATGGACGGTCTATCCAAGAAACTTCTGGAAGATCAGGACTCAGAACTACATACCTGCATTCATACAGGAGACCCGTGGACATAGCTAGCCAGCCCCAGGCCCCTGTGAGGAAAGGGCAGGATGTATACTGACCTGATTCAGAATAGTTCTTAGGTCTGGTCCCCAGGCCCTTGGCCTTGAGTCTGTCGGCCAAGTTCAGAAATGAGTTTGGAACATTAGCCTGTGGAATCTGAGGCAGGCAGAGATAAAGGGACCACAGAGATCAGAAACCCTGCCTAGCTGACCAAAGACCACAGTGTCCTGGGAGAATGTGAGAGGGCCGTGCAGTCTACCCCCCACCCCACCTTTGTGGCAGCTGAGGAGAGCTGGCGTCACCAGCTCCTGTGTATGCGCCCACCCGCCACATCCCTGTCCGTCAACCCAAGCCTGTGCCGGAGAAGACAGCCGATCCATGTCTTCTGGATTCTGGGTTCATCTGGGATAGCGGGAGCACTTTGACAAGGCACACAGGTCATTCTGTGCTTAGGGGGGCATCAGTTCCTTTGCAGGCGGCTGCTGCTTCAGCAGACACAGTGGGAACTTGTTATTTCCAGTTTCCTGACCCTTTTGCCCATGCTACATCAAAATGTGCTGATCCCCATCCTGCCTCTTGGTTACAGAATGCCTCTGCCTTCCGCCTGGTGCAGTCCTGGCCATGGCGTTCCTCAGGAGCCACCTGGGTTATAGTTGCCACCTGGAGATGTTCTGTCTCCTCTCCCAAGCCTAGCAAGGCAGGGGCCAGGCTACCTTTGGCTACTCTTGATACAGAGAGGGAAGATCTGGGGACACCCCCCCCCAAGCGAGAGTATCCCCCATCCCCAGCTGTGAACTTGTGAAGGGCAAAACCCTTTCAATGCATCCGAGCCCTTGTCCATGGTGGGTGTCATGTGTAGTGACTCGGTCAGTAGCCTTACCTTGGCCTGCTCCCCGCTGCCAACACCAAAGGCCCTGTCATCTGGGAAACCTACATGAGGTAGAAGTGCTCAAGGACCCTGTCCCTCCAGCCAGCCCCTGATCTCTTCCGGGTCTCCTGCAAGGGAGGGAGGCAGGCAAGCAGGCAAGCAGTGGCCAGGATGGAGCAGAGACAGCTCTCTCTTCCCTCCTTCCTGGCTCTCTTCCTCCTTCTCTTCCTCCTTGCTAAATGCCCCCGACCCCACCAATGGCAGAGGAACCCGGTACATGGATGGTGCAGCATCTCCTCCCGCTGGGTCTCTCCTCTGCCTGGTAACACTGTGCTGACCCAGGTCTCTGGTAGAATTGTAGCTAGCTTGTAACCTGACCCTGAAACTAACCACTTGGGGGTAGGGTAAAATGATGGAGTGTTGTCACGCTGGTGGTCCCATCATGGCAGGCTCTGTGGCTGAGGACCTCAGCATCTCAGCTCCTCCGAAGCTTATCTTTGCCAAGGTTGTTATCAGCAGGCAGGCGCCAGGTCAGAGCCAGATCCCCACTCCTCTCACAGCCCGTTCCTGACCAGACGCTAACAATGGGCCTGTGTGCCCCACTGCTTGGTGTCCCAAGGGCATGCTGTTCCCTTACCGAGATCAAACTGTCGGCTGCCTTTCTGACATGTGAGACCACAAAGAAGGCTTGTCTGTCCCCTTACGGGGGTCATGGGTTGAACCAGAGAATGGGCCTGCTGCAGGTCTTGAATGCTGCGGCTATGGTTTGCTTTTGACAACAACTTGCACGTCCTATCCTGTGAACAGTGGGATGCATTTCCTGGCTGGTGTGGCCGTGATGCATTCCCCACCCTGGTGACCCAGGCTCACCCTGCCCGTCCCAGGCGCTGCTGCTGGGCCTTGTCTGTGAGTACAGGTTTGGGGACATCATTCCCACTGTCCCTGTAGCACACAAGATCTTAGAAAGGCTAGGAAGCAGAGTGCCCAGTGCTCGAAACATGTCAATCACAGGAAGATTGCTAGATGTTTCCTCCCACCTCCAGATGGAAATATTTGAATAAAAGGTTGAGAAGGGTCATTTTTCTGAATCTGCTAGGGAAAGACCAAAATCGAGGTAGCATCTCCTCCAAGTGCCATAGTCCCACATGGCTCCATACAGCTGCTCTCCACCATGACTTACTTGTGAGTGAGTGTATGCCTAGATATCGTCTCTGGATCCCAGTCTCTACTCAGCCCCTCAGAAATGCTAGGCTGAGGGTCATGAATGAAGCTTGTTCTAAAGCAGAAAGCATGTTTGGTTCAGTCTGAGTTTGACTGTCGTATGACTTCACCAGCCATCGTTCAGAACCTCTTCCCCCTGTGTCTTCTCTTCAGGGCCATAATGACAGGGTGGGGAGTTCTACCCCACTGCTGTCCTCTGAACCATGTGAACTTGGAGCCAAGGCCTGGCCTAGCTGAGGGAGGAGTAATCCCATTCAGCATGTCACCCAGTACCTGCCATCTCTACAGATCCTAACACGATGGTAGTGACAGTGATGACCTCATCAGCCTGGTCACCCTGAGGTGACAGAGGATGAGAAGACTTAGAGTGTGTGGAGGTGGGGCTGGATTCAGGCTCTCGCTGGGCTGCCTGCTGGCGATGTGATGCAGAGTCTGAACCTCAGGATGCCTCTACTTTTGTCTCTGTGAAATGGAAGGAGAAGAGATCACGGGGAAGGCCCAGGAAGCAGTCTGGCAAGCTCATTCACCCCAAACGGGGATAATGATGGTTTCTTTCTCCCCTGCACAGGCACACATTCTGGCAGTTCCGCCATGAGAACCCCAGGACCAGAGTTGGGGACCCTCCCCCGGAGGGCCTCCCTGGCTTCAACAGTGGAGTGATGCTGCTGAACCTGGAGGCTATGCGCCAGTCCCCGCTCTACAGCCATCTGCTGGAGCCCGCGTGGGTCCAGCAGCTTGCAGACAAGTACCGCTTCCGGGGCCACCTTGGGGACCAGGACTTCTTCACCATGATTGGCATGGAGCACCCCGAGCTCTTCCACGTGCTGGACTGCACCTGGAACCGACAGCTGTGCACCTGGTGGAGGGACCATGGCTACAGCGATGTCTTCCAGGCATACTTCCACTGTGAGGGCCACGTCAAGATCTACCATGGGAACTGCAACACCCCTATCCCGGAGGACTAGGCACGGGCTCACCCACTCTGCCCTTTGGGGTCCAGGTGCTGCAGGCCTCCCAGCTGGCCAGGCCCTGTCCAGTGGCCATCCAAAGAAACTTCGCTGAGCACTGCTGGAGCTCAGGCTGTCTCCCTCCGGGCATCGTGAAGGACAGACACAGATACCTTCCATAGGTGGTTGACGATACGGAAGGACAAGATCCCTCGTCCACATGGAATCAAAACCCCTTGGAAACAACCACATAAGTGTTGAGATTGACAGGCTGCTGTTTGGTGAGAAGGAACAGTGCTCCTCTAGTTCCCGGCGAGCACTGCATGAGTGAGTCAGGGTTTTAACAAGCAGCCCAGAGTGTAAGCCTCCGAAGGAATGCCACAGTCCACATCCTTTCCCAGGAGGCTTTGTACCTCCTCTCCAGATGTTCACGCTGCTTGGTGCAGCCTTCAAGAGCAGCATCTCTTTCGGTAAGGCCTCTTGGGCCAGCGAGGAGGCGCATAATGATCCCCTTAGTGTGGCCTTCACAGCTCTTCTTTCCCATTCTCCCTTGTCCATCATCCACCTGCCCCCGGTGACCTGACTGTACGAAGGGATCAAATCCACCATCAACGAACAGAGATTGGCTCTGCTGAGGCGTGCACTAGAATTGTCCAGACTAGGGAGATGACTCCAGAGAGCAGCCTAACGGTTCACTGATGCAACTAGGTGGACTTGGAAAGGGGTGGCCTGGGGTCTCGCTGTGGTCTCTGGCGTGGAAAACAAACCCATACTTACCTATGGCACCTACCCCTTCACAGAAGAGTGCACCATTTCTCTCCTTGGGCTTGGGATGGGCTCTGTAACTCAGCTGCCCACGCGAAGCCACCACAGGCCATGCCCGTACAGTCCAGCTCATGTCCTCAAGCAAGAAATGTTAGATCCTCATTATATTTTCTTTCACAAGTGAGAACAGCTAATAAATAGTCTTTGAGAACACTTGGTTCATGTTGGTTGTTCTCTGACCAGAGTCTCCAGAGGCCTGGGGCTCTGAATGAAGACAGGACTCACTATCAACCAGAGCGCCTAAAAGGACCCACGAAGGCCTGCCGAGTGGCAGTGGTGGTGGTGCCGTGTTCGGTTCTAAGTACAGAGCCGTTTCGTTCTGGCTATTGCTAGATCCGTCTGCTGCTGGGGAGGGAACAGCCTCCCCAACCCCCCGCCCGCTTAGCCCAGACCCCACAGCTGCATCCGTGCCTGGCGAGGCGGCACACGCTCCCTCACGAGCCCTCTGCTGGGGCCCAGTTCATCTGTTCTCCGGGCTACTTGATTTCCTATTTATAGCCTCTGGTTATTAGATGCCTGCTGTGTGCCAGGCATCGTCTTGAGGATTTATGTGTGCTCTGGATAATCATGAAAATTTCACAAGTTCATTCCAGTTCTAAAACTTACATATGAAAACATATGGACAGCCCTATGCTGTGGTGGTTGCTGCAGCTCCTTATTGTACAAAGTGTTGGAAACAGCCTAAAATGCTGACAAGGGAAGTAGATAAATAATGCATATGGCAACCATATAATGGGATATATTAAAAATCATTATAAGGAATATTTAATGTACCAGAAAATACTTAACGCTAGTGAGTCAAGAATACAAAATATAAGGTTGTATGTATGTCCTTTTGTTTTTTAAATCACACATGTGTGTGTATCTATATGTATTTGTGTACAAACAGGTACATACATGAAGTATGTATGAATGGAAAGAGGGAGATTGAAGAACAAGCCTATTCTGTATTTTGTTAGTTCAACTCCTCAAAGACCATACTTCAAACACATTAACAGAACAGTTATCTCTATGCGGGGAAGAAGTGGATTAAAAGCCAGGGAGTTTTTTTAACTCACAATAACAGCAGAATTTTTCATCAATCATTAAAGTGTTTCTAAAGCTACAAGTGTCTTCCGTTATTGCAAGAAAAACAGTAAGCCAGGTACTCTGAGCATAACAGCATCACCCACTTACACTGTGTGTGTGTGTGTGTGTGTGTGTGTGTGTGTGTGACTGGAGCAGCACAAAGGACAGCTTTGTGGAGTCCGTTCCCTCCTTCCACATTTACACACTGTCTTAGGTTTCCATTGCTGTGCAGAGACACCGTGACCATAGCAACTCTTATAAAGAAAAACATTTAACTGGGGCTGGCTTACAGTTTCAGAGGTTCAGTCCACTATCATCATGGTGGGGAGCACGGTGGTGTGCAGACAGACATGATGCTGCCTACATCTTGATCAGAAGGCAACAGGATATTGACAGAGACACTAGGGGTATCCAAAGCATAGAAGACCTCAAAGCCCACCCCCACAGTGACACACTTCCGCCAACAAGGCCACACCTCCTAATAGTGCCACTCCCTATGAGATGATGGGGACTGGTTACACTCAAACTACTGCAATTACCCATTACACCAGCCCCCCATTTACTCTTGAGGTCCCCCTCAGGAGGTCCCCCTCCCCTGCCAGCAGTGGCTGTGGCCTAAATGCCTCTGGTGGATGTAGGGCCATAGACAATAGGAAACCCAGCCAGACGGGCGAAAGCCACTGTGGCTTCTTGGCTTGCCACAAGTGGTTCTGACAGGTTGGAGAGTCAGCTCTGCATGGGGTCCTATTGGGACTCGTGCTGTGCATACATAACTAAAAGGCTGTGCTTCATTTATTGCATAGAACCTTCATTGTCTAGTACATATCTGTACATGTAAGTAAAATGGAGGTCCAGATGGCGTTTCTGAATATATAAACTTTTATCTTTATTAATGTTCATTTCCATATTTTTCATGCTTATTTTATAAAATGCAAAATAAATGCTATACATTTAAACATTTTAATCACACTCATTTATTTAACGTGCGTGTGTATATTCACAGTCATACACATACACTATTGTACTGTGCATGGGGCGGTCAGAGGAATTACGGGAGTTAGTTCCCACCTTCTACCCAGTGCATTCCAAAGATGAAACCCTGGTGGGTAGGCTTGGCGGCAGGTGCCATCACCCGCTGAACCACCTCACCAGTCCGGTGTACGTTTTAAACCATTCTCCTCTACCATAAGTGTCATCCTGTTACACAGATCATGGCTGGTCATGATTGGCGTCCCCAAAGAACAGCCAAGGCTGAGTGGGGTCTGGTCCTCACCTCTCCCGTGGCTGCCTCCCTTCTCTACAGAAAAGTAATCTAATAATAGCAGCACTAGCCTTGCTCCCATTTCCCACATGATAGTAGGTAGACTTTGTGCATACACAAAGCCCACGCTCCACACGGGCCGATAGCCTTTGGAAAGCTTGCAGGCTTATGGATGCGATTCACTCTTGTATGTGTGTAAAGTCAGCATCCCCCACAACAGTGCATCAGCAAGCCACAGAAGAGTGGTTGGTTCAGTGGTACCCAACCCGGGGTGCACCAGGGGTCAGTGGGTACTTGCTCAAACCTCCTCCGTTTCAACAATAGCTAGTTGGGAAGTCTGACTCTGGATCTAGAGGTGGGCAGGGTGGTACAGTGGAGAGAACGCCACCTGGCTGCCTGAATCTACAGCTGCCCTCACTACCTGGGCCACCTTGAATAAATAAGGTCACCCCACCCCTGTTTCTAAACCCACGGGCTAGAGATCTGGCGAAGAGTGTTTGCAGGAAGAAAGATGTATCAGGTGCAAGGAAAGGCTGGTAGTTATTAAATATTCTTTTAAAAATAATAAACTGCAGCAGTTGAGTTGATTACATGTGCTGCAGGTGGCCAGCTTGCTTGCAGGGGTCCACCTTTGAGTTATTCGAATCACGCTACACACACCTACGAGGTAACTTGTTGGGCAATATTCGGATAACTCTCAACCCTGGCCTCAGTTTCTTCCTGCATAAAAATGAAGGGTATCTAAGGAGCACCTCTGTCCCCAGCCACATGTGGAGTCGCGGTGTTTAACACCATCCCGCGGGGTCACACGTGCAGTGCAGACCTTCCCCACCCACTCCCCGTTCATCACACAGACAACAGGAACTCACGTGGATGGATGATGTACTCCTTCATCCCTGCTGTGGGCAGGCAGGGTGGAGTACAGGCAAACCACGGAAGACTGTTTGCAATCACAAAAGAATTACCTGTCCTTCAGGGGCCCAATACACACACACACACACACACACACACACACACACACACACACACACACCCGCTTCACTCTCCGGACAGCTGGGCCAACTAAGATTTTGTCCTAACTTTGGGCTCCTGTGTCCATCTACCAATGGGCCTCCCAGGCACCGCTTCTTTACAGGCAGATGGTCCTTCCGTGGGTCACAGGTCAGGAAGCACAGAGGCTTAGGAGTCGAGGAGGAGCTGCCCACATGAAGCAGACCCAGCCGCTCCTGGGGAGTGTGCCCGGGGCTTATGCAGAGGAGGATGCTGTGAGACCCAGCTGCTCCTGGGGAGTGTGCCCGGGGCTTATGCAGAGGAGGATGCTGGGATGGGGCCTGCGGCTCAGATCCCAGAGCATCTCTACCCTGTCCTGAGGGGACAGTGCCACTACACAGCCACCTTCTAGAGGCCCGGCTGGCCTTGAATGTATGTGAAAGAGGACTCCCTCCCTCCAAGACCAGGCGCTCCTCTCAGCCTCCCTCCTGAAGTGGAGGGTTTGCCCCAGGCCTGTAGATGTAACTAACCGTCTTATTAAATAAGAAACACAGAAACAATGTAAAAGAGAAAGCCGAGAGGTCAGAGCTCAGAGCTAAAATCTCACCCTTCCGCCTGCGGTGTCCCAGCTTCCCGAAAGAGAGCTACTTCCTGTCTGTACGTCTTTTTTATAGTATTATTGTTCTGCCTTCTCATTGGTTGTAAACCCAAACACGTGACTGCCTCGTCACCGTCTGAATGTACAGCCCCCTAGGTCTTAAAGGCATATGTCTCCAATGCTGGCTGTATCCCTGAACACACAGAGATCTATGGGATTAAAGGCGTGTGCCACCACCGCCACACTCTGTCTATGGCTCTAATAGCTCTGACCCCCGGGAGACTTTATTTATTAACATACAATCAAAATCACATTTCAGTACAATTAGATTACCACCACACAGGCCTGCCCTGGGCCCCACGTGTCTGGGCTGGCGACAGGGCAGCGGCCTATGTCAGGCCATGGTGATAGTAGGCAGGGGACCTGTCTGGGACCCGGGGGGAAGCAAGTTACCAACACTTCAGTTCATGCCCGGACCCATTCCTGCACCCTGGGGGGATCAGTCTTCTTCCTCTTTAAGCAATGTAACCTACTCCCACCCCCCAACAGACAGTTATTCCAAAGTGTGTCCCCTGTATCTCTATTTTCACTATGTGGCAGTCTTACTTGGTGTCTATGGCCTGAATTGAAATAACTCACACTTCCTTCCTTCATTCACCACAGCCTGTTGGGTGAGACTGTTACTGGAGAGACGAGAGACAAATGTCTACCCACCCCAAATAGGGAGCCAGTGACAGGCGAAGGTGACAAGTCCACCCAAGTCCAGCTTGGTGAACCGGTAGGATTAATGGTTGTTTATAGGAGTATGGGTGAGGGGTTAGCTACCAGAAGCAGGTACAACCCAAAGGCAGCTGGATCCCTCCAAAGCCCACCCCAGCCTGGGTAAGGATGTCCCAACTGCTACAACCCCAGGAGTTCTGCGCCACTTGCAGACAGATGGGAGAGAGACTCTCCTCCAGGCAGCTGAGCTGGTCAGCCCAGGGGAGGGATGACTCGTCGCCGCCACAGCACGTGACTTACGTGACCCTGGAAGGTCTCAACTCTCCCAGCTTGTAAGGTTTGTTTATGTCTCCGATCTCCAGAGCTTCCCTTCTCCCTCCAGGAGGGAACACTTCAACTCAGAAGGAACCTTTTAATAAGGAGGCTGTGCTGCTGGCTGGTTGTATGTGTCAACTGGACACAAGCTAGAGTCATCAGAGAGGAAGGAGCCTCAGTTGAGGAAATGTCGCCACGAGATCCAGCTGTAAGGCATTTTCTCAATTAGTGATCAATGGGGGACGGCCCAGCCCATGGTGGGTGGTGCCATTCCTGGGCTGCTGGTCCTGGGATCTATAAGAAGGTGAGCTGAGCAAGTCATTGGAAGAAAGCAGCACCCCTCCATGACCTCTGCATCAGCTCCTGCCTCCGGATCCTGCCCTGTTTTGAGTTCCTGTCCTGACTTCCTTCAGTGATGAACAGCAATGCTGAAGTGTAAGCCAAATAAACCCTTTCCTCCCCAACTTGCTTTGTGGTCATGGTGTTTCCTCACAGCAATAGAAACCCTAACTAAGATAGAGATGGCCACACTGCCTTTTTAATTGCCCCCCCCCCCAGAGCCACGTGAAGACCTTCTGCATGCTACCAGCCTCTTCCACACTTCTCCTCACTCCCCACATTGCTTACCCTGAGGAATTCCCATGTCGTCTCCACCTGCACACTCCTCTAGTCATCTGTATCAGCATCCCTGTCCTTGTTCCTTGTGGGCCAGGTGACCTGTTCTTTGTGTTGTAGACCCAGGGGTCAAACCAGGACCGTGAGGTAGGTAGATACTTCCAATTTCTTAAAATTTGTGTGTGTGTGTGTGTGTGTGTGTGTGTGTGTGTGTGTGTGTGTGTGTACACGCACATGCAGGTACTGATGGATCCACTAGAGTTACAGGTGGTTGTGAGCTACCCAACATGGAGGCCAGGAACGGCTGTGAGTCCTCTGAAAGAGCAGCTAGTGCTCTTAACTGCTGAGCCATCTTCCCGTGACCAACACGTCCATTATGACCCAGTGGCAATGGAAGCCTTGCCACCCTCTCCAGCAGAAGCCTCACGGTTGTTGGTTGCTTTTGCTCTTTTGGGGGGAGCCCGCCTCCCAGCTCCCAAATAGATCACACACTGAGGCTTAGTCTTACTTATAAATGCCTGGCCTTAACTTGGCTTAG